TTACGTCAAGCAGACAAGGCATTTAAAGAAGAAGCCACCTTGATTTAGTATGTTTAGCTAATGACAGGCGCCGGCTTTGGGACGGCATTTCATCAGAGGTTCATGTCGATGGATTTACCCATAAAATGGATTCAAGCTGTTAATTGCACATCATGAAACTCCTTAAAAAATAAACTTCAACTTCAACACTGAAAGTCAGTCTCTGTAATAATTATATCCATTCAAATCAAAGTCAAAACACGTTTGCATTACATTTTATCATTTAGTTATTTTAATAAATATTTGGAATTAATATTTGGTTACACTTTAATTATTTCTCTTATGTCTTCCTTTAACTATTTATGTCTTTTGTGAAGCTCTTCAAATTGCCTTGTTGCTGAAATGTGCTATATCAATAAACGTACCTTTCCTTATAACAGTCAAATGGTACATAACATTCAGAATGTTTTCAGGACAATGTTTTACCTTTATTAAGTCTTCTGCCTTCATTTCTAAAATCCCCAAACAGATTCTTTAATTTAACCGCTTACAAAAGAAAATGTGTGTGATGAGATGTTCATTCTATCAAGAGGGGGAGCAGTCCGTATTTTAAAATCAATGTCAACACAAACTGTAAATCCAAAGCAGTAAACGGGCTTCATCCATCAGCCCCGCACGCTTCACCAGCAGCAGGCCGACAAAGATTTTAGGAGCACAGCGAGCTGAGAGGTCGCTACAAAGTGTTCCATTTCCTTCACTTTGCAAGGACATGGTCCTGCGTGTTTGCTGAGTGTGCAAATCACGTAGTTAGGGCCTGCAACACCCCCCAACACACACACACACACACACACACACACACACACACACACACACACACACACACACACTTACCATCCACCAGCCCTACAACCGTCTTGCACACAAAATGTTTCACCCCCCACCCCTTATTAAAACATGTCAGCCTTCAAACCTGCTGGCAATGGAGGCCCCATCAAACCTCAGAACCCCCTCTCCAGATGCACGCACGCACGCACACACACACACACACACACACACACACACACACACACACACACACACACTCGCACACATACTGACGGGGAGACCTAAATGAAACTGCATGGTAATCAGAATGAGTGCTTGAATCGATGGACTGGGCTCCTTGAAAAGAGGGTGTATGGGACGGGGGAGGGGAGACGGAGGGGTTGCAGGAGGCTCAAATTGATGTGAGGTTGCTGAAAATGAAGATACGGGGTGCAAGACAAAAGAGAGGGAGGGTCCAGGCATGGAGCGGAGAATAGCGCAAAAGGAGGAAAATTGATTCGTCTGGGGGATGGGATGAGCCAGGGGAGAGGGGAGAAGGGGTGAATGAATGAGTGGGAGGGGTGAGGAGGACTTGAAAATGAAGTTGGTTGAATAAACTCAGAACTAAACATATTAGCTTGATGGCTATGATGCGATCATTACCTAATAATAAAGTTCCTTTTAAAGGCTTTATATGTGATTTTAAAAACTTAAATATAATAGAAATCAAGTATCTCCTCTGAAAATAACTCTGTGAGTCATGACTGTCTACAATGGGTGTAACACCCGAGTCCCACTGTCTGTGATGTTTTCAGAGTTTTCAGAGTCCTATCTTCACTTTGTTTACATCGCCAGGACGGCCGGCTGACTCCTCCCCTCGTGTATAAAAGTTGTTTAATTGAGGGACTAGAGAAAAGAAGAATAACATACTGTACTCACTGCTTAACTGTGTTTCTAGATCACGCTCATTTCAGGTAAATTTACATGCAGTGTGAAGATACCAGCATAATAAAGATCACTAGCATTAGCATGCTAACACAACAATGCAGCGCGAGTTGTTTTGGTTTCATGCTGGTGCTCAAGGGCGACATCTGCTGGATCAAAAAATCATTTATAAAGCCTTTAACAAACTGCAGGTACACGTGTCGACCTGCTTTGTATATCCTACTACATACTTTTAAAATGTGACATTAATAGTAGTGAATGATAGTAAACTGTTTTGGTATTATTGGCACTTAAGGTGCATGACTGTGCACTCTCCCATGTGTGAGCAGGATAATCATTAGATCTTGTGATTGCACCATCACGTTTACCACAGGGTGCATTTCAAGGTGACGTGGTTTTATCAGTCCTCTCATCTATGCGTGCTCTTGTTTGTTTGTTTGTGGTTCTCTCATTGTGGAAATAGAGCGTTTCTTGTACTGGTAGCTCGTCATGAGTTGCACAGTTTCACTCAAAGCTCTGTTTGTCTCCTCACTTGCACTTTAAATAATCCTCAGTCTAAGAGGCCTAATGCATATGGAGCATTGTGCAAAGAGCCGGAAACTGGCTTTGTTTAAATACTGATTAATTGGTGTCAGGCAAATGAGACGGCAAAGATCTGAGAGAATGAGGTGAGATGATGTCCACATTGGTGTGTTTTTGTGATTTTAGAGTGTGTATTCTCTTTAATCAACATTTTCAAAAGGTTTCCTAAGATGTCTCTCTCTTGTTGAAGCAGTGTTGAGTTCTTTAACTCTCTGGAGCATGATGAACAGAATACCTGTCAGTCTCTTTTCACCACCAAATACTGAACCTAAATCTCCCATGTATCTGTTTTACTGAAGAACATACATCTGAGTCAACACCTTGTTTACTCTGCTGCCTCCTGTTCTTCTTCTATCCCTGTTTTTTCATGTCATCTCCGCTAGAGATGAAAAGTTCAAGCCAGTCTGTTTCCCTGGGATATTTATGTTTACGCTCGGTGCTCGGAGGAGAGCAGATGGAGGGATTAGAGTTTGATGTTTATGCCGCGCGACCTCAGACCTCACTTGACATAAAGGGTTCAGGAGGGGCCAGACTGTGGATCCAACCTCAGGTGTCTCTGAAAAAGTTAAGAATTTAAGGAAACTGCGTTAGAAAAAAAATATTAAATCAAATTGAGAAGATACATTTCTTCTCTGGAGTTAATTTAGGGATGAGCACGATAAAGGGTTTTGCCTAAGAGCATGAAAGTAATGTCTTTATCATGCTCATGCTCTTCATTATGTTTACATGTATATATAGTTCAGTAGTATTTAAGAGTTATAAATTGTTTATTTGGGAAGAATCATCATATCACTGATGATGTAACAAAGTTGTTTTACAAAAACTGTTTGATATATTGTAACTTGATCGTATAATATTTGAGTTCTCTCGCTTCCAGACATTTACTGAGGGCTCTAAATGCAACACTCTGAAGCACTGGTTCCCAATGTGTAGTCTGGGGGCCCCAATGGGTCCTTAATGGGATTCAGGGTTTCTTAGATTATTAGTTTAGTTTATTAGTTACTGCATTCTTTAAAAAAAAAAAAAAAAAAAAAAAGTAAAACAATTTGTCATAACTTTCTTTCACCATTAGCAAGAAAACAAATCAAGGACCCTTGAAAGTGTCCTAGTTTGGTCTGACTAAGGGGGAGTTAACAGTGTTTTGAATTTCAGTTTAAACAATCATGTTTTTTATTAAAAAAAATTGGGTCTCTAAGCTATTTCAAATCAAAACCCCCCTCATTGTTGATCACACACTGGGTCCAACCATCTGACATGGCTGACACACACCCAGTGAAGTAGAGACAACAGGAGGACATGCTTTTTCACAACTTTATAAATAAACATGTGACTCCAAAAGTGTCACTTATGTGTCATCACACATTTCTAATGGTGTTCATAGTTATGGCTGTCTGCTTGTTTATGGTGCATAGTGTCTGTATATGGCCACAGCATTAATGATCACTTTGATGAGGTGCTGCTGAAGGCTCGAATACACTCATTTTAAAATCTGTCTATATACCAGATAGACTTTATTGTAGAGTAGTCATGGAAACCAAAAAACTGGCAGCAACAATAAGTGGCAGCATGACGTGATGTGAGCATGCACACATCAAAATGGTGGTAAATTGATATATCACTCAGCCTTAGTTGATACCACTAATGAAGCTTGTGCAAAAATCTGATGAAATGATTTCAGATGCAATGTTAACCACTGGATATCTAAGCCTTTTCTCATTTCCCGTCACATATTTGTGACTATTTGTCCTGCTTTGGCCTCCTGCTAATCTCATGGAGTAGTTAGGAAACACTGAATCACAGGCAGACTGTTAATGCTGAGCTCCAGGTTGCGAGAGTTTGAAATCGGAGTTTGCCATGATGAGTGTCTGCAGAGTTTTGGGGTGTTGAGGGGAGGTCAACGTGCCGATGCCAGCTAATGTTGCACAGCCACAGCAACACGTGTCGTAACACCAGTGACCTCACAGCCGTACATAAAGAAGAGAGGAATGCAGACTATGAGGGGGGTCAGATGAGATTCATAGGTGGCCTGGTTACACTCGCTGTACACCTCTGGGTGTCTGGTACAACCCCGGCTTGTCTCACATGACGACAGGACCAGAGTCAGAGTCACAAGGTGTTGTTCAGTCCGCTCTGATGACAATGTGGAGGGAGGTACTCTCCTTCACCCAGTTATTATATGTTATCATCTACTGATGTAGAAACTGATTATTCTTTATAAACACTGAATGCAAAACTAACAAACCTTCAATTCTCTGTCAGGAAAATCTAGTGAATCATAACAAAGTAATACACTACACTGTTCTATCATTTCAGGGGTAAAAGTTGTGTTAATAATCTTCAGTTAAATTGTAATCATATGTTGCTCCGATTCATTGACATATTTATTGGAAATGATCTGAAATTGTGAAACCGGCTCTTGAAACCAGTTTTTGAAACAACTTTCTACTCATGTTTTCTCCTGTTGTTTTTGTCAGAGGTTTTAACCAATCAGCAGCAGCGTGCATACAAACCCCTCTTTATCATAAAGACAGATTTTTGTAAAACAGAGTATATAATTTTCAGTTTAAGCTCAGAATGATGCAAAAAAAGTTTAGTTGAAATTCAATTTACAAAGTAAAAACAACCTGCTTGTGCTGTTATACTGGTGGTTTAATCTCTCTCTCTCTCTCTCTCTCTCTCTCTCTCCTCAGCATACCTCCCTGTCAGCCAGCCGCTCAGAGAAGGGTACTGGCTGGTCCAGCCGTTCGCTTGGTGCCCGATGTCGTAACTCCATTGCCTTGTGTTCAGATGAGCAGCCACACATTGGAAACTACCGGCTGCTCAAAACCATCGGCAAAGGCAACTTCGCCAAAGTCAAACTGGCACGGCACATTCTGACCGGCAGAGAGGTGAGTTCAGAAGTAAACAACTTACTATAAAAAGAGGTCTCGTCTGCACTGGATGCTGGGAGTTATTCAGTTAATGCTTTCACACAAAACTCCTGAAAAACTCCTGATATCTCCAGGAGGAGCTGTATGTAATAACACAAACAGCCACATTTTTCACTCTGACTTTATCCAGAGTTTCTACTCTACTAAGTCCAAATGAGCTGATGTGAGAACACAGCAGGATATAGTCAGGAAAATTCACCTCGAGCGAGTGGGAGGGGGTGGTGACGTTTATTCCCTGCGATCGGTGCATGACCATAGACTGTCTCCAGGAGGCCGGTACGATCTCCCTGAAGGAGGTTAAACTGCTGCATTTTGTTATTCTGTTCTCCAGTATGTTCTCTGATCTTTTGTTGAACTACACATACAATTAAAAATTCTCACTATAGAGTTGTATAGCGAACTCTGTTACTCCGTCTGCCACTTCAGCATCGTTCTTTTTACCTAATGTCTTCCCTCAGGAGTCCCCCCCTCCCGTCTGATAGGGATAGTCTCTCGCTGTGAGGAGCATATGTGAACAGCCAGGTCATGAGGATTTCAGGGGCGGTCCTCTTGAAAACAGGTGTCGTTTCAAAGGGCTGTCCTGCAGGATTCAGAGCATGTTCATCGAGCTCACAGCCTGGTCTCACAACACGGCCACTTCCTTAAAACCCTTTGAAGAGAGACAGTTGTGCTACTCTGTTGAGTGGGTGTATGTTTGTGTGTTTTAGTCCACACTAGTCTCTCTTCTTCTTATAAAACCCCTGACCTACATTGGCTGAGTTGATTGCTCTTCAGACTCAGTAGAAACTTTGTGAGTGCTGCTCGGTGTGTCATGTGAAAGACGTTGTGTTTCACTCACATAAAAGCAGAGCAAGATGTTCACATGTAGTGGTTTTACAGTCGCAGTTTGACCGGGTCACCACATGTTGTTAATCTTTGTCAATTTGTTTAGTGGATATCAGCTTGTGTGTGTCATGCTGTAAAACACTGTAACCCATTCGTCATCACTACTGTGTGGATTGATTATCCAACTCTTATTAACTATGAATATTAATAATAATAATAATAATAATAATAATAATAATAATAATAACAATGATGATGATGAAGCTGGAAATGTTGTTTATTTGGTTTAAATCTTGAATGCAGCAACAGAACACATTTCTCAGCAGCCACCGGTCTCATAAAGACAAAGAAATAGAGTTTGTGGAACGCAAAAGTTTAAAACAAATACACAGAAAAATCTGATTTTTTAAATTCATATATTTAATCAAAAATGAGCAAACATGTAAAAAATGGAATAATTTAAATTTATTTTTTTGACAAAATCAGAATCTACAGATTTAAATGTTTTGCTGATTTTCTTTGTCTTGAATTCTAGTTCACTCAGTAAATGTTGGCTGGACTATACAAGATGTTTGAGTACATCACCTTGTGCTGTAGGAATCCTGATAACCAAAAATAAATATACAGATGCTTTAACTCGCAGTAAATAAATTCTTGTGAAGTATAAAAACATTTTCAAATTCAATATAGATTACATGACATGAACAAGCATGAATTTTAACATTATTGATGTTTAATATTCACTGAGACGGTATGAGGCAGAAGTTTAGCTGCACTTCATACTTTCTTTAGTGTGGAATTATTGTCTGTTTTTGTGTCGTTCATTTTTTTTTCTTTTGTTTCTCAGGTTGCAATTAAGATCATAGACAAAACACAACTGAACCCGACCAGCCTTCAGAAGGTGAGTGACATCTGACGCTATATCTGAGTGCTTGTTATGTGTGGAGGCTTTTGTGAAAGCTATACAAATATTCAGCTGTCACCGGACCTCAGAACTCTTTTTGTTATGACGATCTCATCAAGCTCATACAAGCTTATTGTGAACATGAAGACCTAAACTAGTCTTAAGTTCTTTTGCACCAGGGAGGGACAGTCACTGAGCACAGGTGCGTCTTCTACATGTTGTATTTGCCTTAGGTTTTAACCCTCAGATGACCCATGAACACAGGAGTTGTCTGAACTTTGACCTCTTGGTTGGAAGCGATGTAAAAGCTCTTTTAAACTTCTCAGGTTTACAGAGAAATCAGAAGTTTGGGAAGCATTGACTTCTTCCTTGTGTATAAAATAACCATAGTTTGTCACCTTAATGAAACTAGAAGTAACTAGGTTAAATGTGTGTGTGCATCGATGTGTGCTTGTCTAGTCAACCTCTGGAGTCATGTAGAAACTGCATGTGTGGCGTTCATGGCCTTAATGAGATTAAGCGCTCTCTCCTGTCTGAACTTGGCCTGCTGCAGCTATTTGTGTGTGTGTGTGTGTGCGTGTGCGTGTGCGTGTGCGTGTGCGTGTGCGTGTGCGTGTGCGTGTGTGTGTGTGTGTGTTCATTGAGGGTGATCTAATGAAACAAAATTGAGTAAAAACATATTCTCAAGCCTGCAAAATCTTTTCCATCAGATAAAGTTGCAGCTCTTTCCCTCCCCAGCCTGTTAGTAGAACTTTCCACCCTCGATAATGAAGCACTATCATCATGTCATTGGTACAAAATCTTACCATCATTAATATGCAACTCTTAAGCTTTAGACTGACACTGTTAGCAGATAAAAGTTACAGCTTTGTCCGCATATGTTGCCAAAATTGGAGCATACCTAAAGTCCCTCAAAGGAGCATTAATGAAGTTGAAACTTTGTGATTTCAATCAGCCAGGTCTTTCAATTTATATCCTTACATCTTCTATCCTTATGGATTTTACCCCTTGAATGTCTCTTAATGGTTATACACTGCTTTATTTTGCAAGCTTAGCCGTTTTAATGCTTAAGGTAACGCCTTCTACTGTAAGTGCTTCATAAATCTTCTCCACGGGTGCAAGTGCTCCACCAAAACAAATTCCCCTCCGACGTTTTTTTTTTTTTTTTGCAGAGAAAAAAAGCTGCTGCATCCTCGGCATAGCGCTGCCTAGGTCGATTGGTTTACAGGAACACAAACAACACACGCTGCGTGAATAATCATGTTGGCTTCAGCTGACCCCATTTCAGCTCTGGCACAGCACAGAGTGGAGTTAGGTCGGCTGTGTGAGACCACCAAAGAACAAAAACCCACACAATAGCCAGAAGACAAATCTGTGTATGACAGATGTGTAGAGGGATGCAGCAGCTCTCAAATATATTCTTTATACAAAAATAGCACACACATATGTTTAACAGTTGCATCCTTTCTCACATCTGGCTCCAGATCTCTGCCAGATCTTCTTTGATTCACAGGGAGTTTGACCTTGTATGTGGAGTTAGTTAGTGTGATTAGATTGTGTTCACACAGGACGTACAAGTCTCTCTTTGTTTAAACTCTGGCCTTGTCTTCTTTATCATACTTCCACTGTAACAAATACACTCCCTCACGTCATTGAGATCGATACTGCAACACAAACAAATCCCCACACAGCCATCCCATTGATGTATACTAACCCCAGTCCAGGCTACAGATATAGCTTATTGATGGTGTCTGGCTCTGTGTGATAGTTGGAGACCTGGCCTAGATACTCAGGGTGACCACAGATATATCCCTCTGATATTGATTGATTAAAAACAGACTTTATTGATATCATAATAAACACATAAAATGCCTAAAATACGCAGAAATGAGAAACTACACTTTTATTTGTTCTTGGTATCAGTTCCAGTAATCCGGCATCACAATCCTCTAATGAGCCGATTAGGGGCCTCTTTTAGTCCCATTTATAGCAGCCATGGTTATTTCTATGCAATTTACACCTTTTGAAAAGTAACACATCTGTTCCGGTGCAGTCTAGCGTCTTTTTCAAAAGGTTGCACCCTCTTTTGTTCCCCGTCAGGACACAGTTTCTGTGTGAAATACCAGCATGAGTATTTCTGTGTGACTAAGACCATTTCTAATCTTGGTTCAGCTAAAAGTAAAGAAGGATAACGTTTTTCACAACCAGGCATTGGATTGAGTTGATACTAGCTTAGTTGAGTCTAGGTCAATTGTAAAGGAGTTTCACTTCAAGCTGACATCGGAGAAAATCCAGGGCTTTGAAACCAAAAATATGAAAGCAGGCAAACAAGGAATTTTAAGGTGTGGGAAAAAAATCCTAAAACATGTGTTAGTATTAGATTTAGATCTACATAACCTGCAACATTACATGAATTGTTTTTTCTTGTGCATGAAATAAGCAAACTACTGCAATAGCTCCATTAATTGGACTGCTTTCCTTGTCCCAGTATACAAGCACCGAGGGAGAAACGATTTATTGAAGGAAGTACTGTGTGTCTGACTCTGCAGTTTCAGGGGGCGGTATGGACCCTGTCAGATAGTTACTAAAAGATCTTCTGCCAATTGACCTATTGCCTCACGTACCAAAAAATCCAAAATCACCATTCAGCATTTCCTTCAATTCTTGTTAAAGCTGCAATGTTATTGTCAATGCAATATGACCGTGCATAAATTGTTCAGTATTTTCCGAATCTCAATAAATATTGCAGAAAGAAAAGATATTGCAAATTCCCAATTTTATTTTATTTTTCCCAATTTCGTGCAGCTCTAATTCATTTACTTCAATATGTTGACACTCCTTGTCCGTTCAAAATATGTGGTTCTCACTTAAGCACTCGCCATGTTGAGACCTTCTCCTTGTTTTCTTCACATTTATGCTGTTATGACTTAACTTTGAATACTTTTTGGAGTGATTCAATCTCCTAAAGGAACACCAACACGTCCTGAATGCCTCTGTGCCGTTATATAGAAAAAACGTGCTTTGCTTCACAGTAAACATTTGGTCAGTGTTATCACCAGCTGATAAGCTATTGACTCTTCTTTAACAGAGGTGGAACTGAGGTGATGGAGGGTCGTTTGTGCATGTGTGTGTCTCCATTGTCCGTCTGTGGGAATCATTTTAGGCAACAGCAGTCGTGGGCTTCACAAATGTATTTCTCAGATCCTGACAGGGAGATGCTTAAATCTGCTCAGCTTGATCTGAGCTAACACACCACGATCGTAATGAGGCGAGTTTGGAGTCTTTGTGTGTCTGTGTGTGTGTGTGTCTGTGAGTGTGTGTAGTTTCCGCAGTAGGGTGGTGGTGGTCGATTGCCGCATAGTGCAGCGCTGTGGCTGGGTTGTTGTCCCTGTCCTGTCAGCAGTTTTGTAGTTAGGCTTAGGACACGATGCATGCAGCCAGGTGACACTGTCTCTCTTTGTCTGTCTCTCTATTTAATTATTGGACTGCCTTCAATGTCGGTATAATCTCAAACTGCAAACATTAAATCAATATACATCATATAAGCATATTCCAATCAATTAATTCATTTGAAGTCTTTATGTTATGAGCAAGTAATATAACATGTCTGTCCACCTATAAATACCCTAAACACAAATGTGCGTCATTTTATTTTCATCAGTAAATTAAAGCTTGTAACCTGGAAACAGTGAAGTAAGTTCTAAAAGTCAGAGGTTAGAAATGACTGATTTCACCCGACCGACACTCCAAACTCTAAAATATTGTTTCTACAATAGATTTAAGAGTGTAAGTTTTTTCCTTCTGGCAGCTGGAAGAGACATTTTCTTGCTATCGACGCTATCAATTACCAAAATGTTTGCAAATGAAGTCTTAATTGATAATTTTCTTAATCAGTCAAACTATAATTTCTTTACATTTTATGTCGAATCAATAAGCCTTTGTTTGGTCTTTTGTTGAAAGCATGAAATAAGTTTAACATCAGCTGAAACAGAAATGTTGTTTTCCAACTTTACCTTGTCTTTTCTCCTTCAGGGCAGACTGATTTATTTGCTTCTGTCGACTAATAGAAATGCACATAATTTGCGTTGTAATTTCACAACATCAATATTCATGAGACATAGTTTTTAACAACTGGGAGATAGAAACACACAGCAGCTTCTGTCGATTCTCTAATTCTTGCTGTAGAATCTCCCCACTTCCTCTCACGTTGTGTTTCGCCTCAGATTACCCCGACCCCTCTTTCTCTTTCCTCTCTCTCTTCTCTCTCTCCTCTCTCTCTCTACCCTCTCTTCCATTCTCTTTACTCTCTTTAGTTCTGTGTCCCACTTTCCTCTGCTCTCTCCCCGGGGGTTTCATCGTGGTTAGCGCTGTACTGTAATCACGACTGTGCTCTCTACTGTCAGTAGCACTACACTACGTCTCCTGACACAATATCAGGGATGTAGAAACTGAATTTATGAGTGTGTTTCTTATTGTGTGAGTCCAGGGATGCCAGTTATTCCACATTTTTCATTTCATTAAAAAAGCAAAAGAACATATTGCCACCAGTGCCATTTGGTACCGGGATGAGCTTGGTTAGAAAAGTACTAAAAAATAATAATTAACCTGATCTTTAATTGACAGAGATAAAATTGTATTTTATGGGGCTGTCATGAAACGTGGATTCTTTTGTCTAAACATTTAGTAATTTTGGTTCTTATTAAAGTTTGTTTTGTTGATTCAGATAATGCTGCCATAAAAACGTTTCACCCTAATGACATGAACTTTTCTCCGCTCAGCGTTTGCTTTATCAAAGACAGTTAAATAAGGCAAAGTTGGTGGTGACTTTTAAATCCTGCGACCGGCACACGTCCATGAGCGTCCAGTGCGATCTCCATGCATGTAATGAATCTGCTTCATTATGTTTTCTGAACGACGCTCTTTTGTTGATTCTGTGAATTTGTCAAACTAAACGAAAAGACCAAAACTGTTGTTATAATGTCAGACTCTTTTGATTT